GCAGTCACAGCAAAGTAGAGGATCAGGCAGGCATGCTTACCGTTGAAGCTGCCGAGAGCGAGAACTGCGTCTCCGGTGGCAAGGAGATTTCAATACCAGTGAGGCCGCTGCATGTTACCTTGATCAGTCCTTTGGCCACGCGGGTTGTTGGCATCGGGTGGGGTGAAGATTTTCACGGTGTTTGAGTCACGGCCGGACACAATAAAGCGTCCCCGAAACGTGGTTGCTACCAGCCCATGACCGCCTGCTCTTCTCATTGGGGCTGCTGGTTGCCAAAAGTCGTCGGCTGAGGTGCGCCTCGCCCCGTCGTCTCCTGCCAGTTTGTTGCTGCTAAATGATAGTACTCAACTGAAGCTAAGGGGGCGTAATACACACCGCCAAAGAAAAAGACGTGGCAGTCGCCAGACAGAGAGGCAGCGGCTGGAGCGCACCTCTTCCGGCATGTCGGGCAGCTGGTGCCATCTGTTGAGAGAGAGAAAGTGGATAAGTGAGTGAGAGCCTAGGGCAGCGAGTCAGTGCTGGAAGAGCTAGTATATGTCCAAGCCAAACAAAGAGGTACACATGCAGTCCTGCAAGTCCTGCGAACAACTTTCATGACGAAATTTAACTTGGTAGTTTGGCATATAGTTGTACAGGTTATTTTGATTAACTGAGTGAATTTGATAATTAGAAATGCTCTAGTTTGTAAAACTGTTAGGCACTGTTAGGCACTAAATTTGGCTAACTCATGAGTAAGTGCATATTGAACAAATTGCCTATGCTATGAGGTGTGACAGAACCAAAGTTTTTACTAATATGCATTGTGCTGTGGAATAATTCCAGAATTAATAAAAAAGTGGAATAATACTCCCTTCCAGAATTGAAAAAAAAAATTTACGAAGTTAATAAAATGGTAGTGAAGCCAAATTTAAGGAATCGCATTTATTTTCAGAAACAAGTAACAATTTAAGTTTTGAAAATTACATTTTGCTATTCTGTTACGTTTTGTATCATAAAGTGCAGTAACAAGTTAGTATGAAAAACTTGTTTTACTCCACCGATAACTATGAGCGCATCCGCAAACTTTGACATATATGTTACCGTTAAGGTGACGTAAAGGAGGCCTTATTAAGTGTAAGGCAGGTAGAAATATACATTTTTGAAAAACGGCACGTTCAGCTTTTCTGTCATTAAGAAACGGAACAGACAGAAGAATAAAAAGTATTTCAAAATATGGTCATATCTGTGGCCTGTTTTTTGCATTTGCAAGCGTATAACGGATAGTGGAATTTATCTCCTTAAGCGGAAAATAATCTATTTTAATGAGAAAATTATGTTCATTTATGTCCAGTCGAATTGAATAGTTTATCATCAGGCAAATTAAAGAAATTATCAAAAGTCTGCAATTTCCCCGTGGCATTACCTTGGAAAACGTTGATATACACAAAAGATCATGAGCTAAATATCCAATAAAAACATTTTTTAAAGAGGTTACCTATCATGAAAAGTTTTTTTATGAATCTTAGAAATAACAATTTGCGTGGTACCTAGCAGACATTTTGTATTCTCGACAATGTGGTTTGCTATGTTAAAACATTTTCACATTTGACCTACGTGGCCATCTTCATAAGAACTTATATCAAAAAGCTCGCTTTTCCGGTAAATGCCGTTTGGTTATATCTTATTTTAAAGGTTTTGATGTACCGTAACCGCAATGTTCCGGAACCAAAGGACAGAATGGTTCCAGCGGGACCAAAGGATAGAGGCGAATAACCTTTGGTCCTACTGCGCCGTGATTGCGTATATGGGCAGTTTTCCGTCCGCTGACCGGAGGAGGCTACAAGCCATCATCGAACTCGATGGTCGAACACACACACACACACAAAAACAAGCCCCCTCCTCCAGAGAAAAACCCTATGCGCACGCACGCCTCCTACATTTGCTCCCTACCCCTCCCCAAATACGGCGCATGGATCGATGTCTTGCTTTAGCAACTTTTGTCGGTGTATGCCTAGGGTGAAAAACCCGTGTTCAGATCACACTAAATGCGTTCTATTAGGGGTGGAGGTCTGGGGGTAGAGGGGAAGGGGGTGACTACGTGCATCAAGTGCACTCTGAGCAGGCTCGGTTAAGCCAGATGTTTAGACGTAGTTTTA